CTCGACTTAAGAAACTCCTCATACACCATGGCAACTGCCTAGTAACAATTTAGCAACCCCCTTTGACACCATAACAACCACCTAGCAGACCCCGAGCAACCACCTGGGACACCATAGCAACCGCTTAGCAACACTGTAGCAACTACCTGTGATACCATGGCAACCACCTAGCAACACCTTAGCAACCACCTAGAACACCATAGCAACCGCCTAGCAACCACCTGGGATACAATACCAAACCCTTAGCAACACCAAAACAACCACCTGTGCAACCTTAGCAACCACCCAGCAACACATTAGCAACCACCTTGGATACAATAGCAACCACCTAGCAGGCCCCTAGCAACCACCTGGGACACCATAGCAACCGCTTATCAACACTGTAGCAACTACCTGTGATACCATGGCAACCGCCTAGCAACACCTTAGCAACCACCTAGGACACCACAGCAACCGCCTAGCAACTACCTGGGATACAATACCAAAGCCTTAGCAACACCAAAACAACCACCTGTGCAACCTTAGCAACCACCCAGCAACACATTAGCAACCACCTTGGATACAATAGCAACCGCCTAGCAGTCGCCTAGCAACCACCTGGGACACCATAGCAACTGCTTAGCAACACTGTAGCGACTACCTGTGATACCATCGCAACCACCTGGCAACACCTTAGCAACCACCTAGGACACCATAGCAACTGCTTAGCAACCACCTGGGATACAATACCAAACCCTAAGCAACACCATAGCAACCACCTGTGCTACCTTAAGAACCACCCAGCAACACCTTAGCAACCACCTTGGATACAATAGTAACCACCTAGCAACCTAGCAGGAAGTGGGAACTGTTTTTCTGTGTTTCCTTCAGAAAATGCATTTTCTAGTTTTTCTTATGATAATTCTTATTTCTGGTATTGTCCTTTTTGATTCTTGACTGGGCTAAAGATCAACACCAAACCTTCATTGTGGCCTAAACTATCTGGAGCTGGAAACATTTACAACAGTCTCAGTGCTGTACGTTAAAGGTTAAAACAACACCAAGCTCCTGCTCGCTGCCACCTGATAGAATGAGACCAGTGGAGCTTTTTTACGGTCAGCATTCGTTATGCAGTGAGCAGTACTCAGCGCATGCAGCATGGGAACGTTTCCACCAATAAAACATAGCTTGTAGTTTCTGTTTCAAAACACAAGAGACACGAGCGCCTGCCAAATCTCAAACCTTAGCCCGGCTTCTGGCATCTAATTATTTCTGCAGTGCGGTTCTGTATTTATGACTCTAGTTAAAGCAATCAGATTAATGGCGCGATAAACTAATGTGCCTAGATCTCTGCAGCGTGAGATTTATGTGTGAAAGAGTTCCAGAGACAGAGAACACGCTGATAACATTCATCTGATATGACATCCCACCAAATAACTGTAGGAACTGTTTATGACTAATGTGACATAATATGACACGATATTGCAAAACATCTGGAGTGTGAGTGGAATTTAGTGACCCAACATTAAGTGGTTGGCTTATAGGGGAATTCCACCAAAGTTTCTGCATAATTAATTCAATGTAAACAAAGTCATTCAGGGTGGTTTGGTGTGAAACGCTACGTTCTAGAGAAACTTACCGAGTCAGAACTGTTCACAGTGGTGGTGATAGGAACCAGACGTCCACCTCTAAAAGCTCCCTCACAGAAAGTTACTACATGAAGTGGTTATGAATTCACTGATGCCTGAGACGTTGATTTACAATACTTTTAAGAAGGTTTCGGCCTAAAACGTACAGTTGTGCAAAAGTTTTGTGCCTTGGGGATTAGATATTCAGACATGAGATAATCCCTTTGCATAAAGTAGGAAAAAGAAAAACTGATTCAAAGCCACAGAGAAAATGTGCCTCCTAACAACCACCTGGAAGAGCTGGTAGACACCAAAACTGCCATCAGATAAACAGCACTTAAAGCTTTCATCTCTGAGAGAGAGGAGAAAATCAAGCTGCTTCAGATCTGAAAACATCCACAGGTGTTTCTGTCCATCCTTCCACTGTGAGAAGACGACTCAGCGCTGTGGGTCTGAAAGGATGTGTAGCTGTTCAAGAAGAACCTCACTGAGAAAAGGAGACGGACACATCAAACAAAGAAGCTGAACGATGGACTGACCACCCCAGAGTCCAGACCTCAACACCACTGAATGTGTTTGATTACTTCAAAAAATGATCAACCAGCTTCTAAGACTGAACTCTGGAGGTGTGTCTGCAGATTCTTTGAGAAACTGAAAGTGAGTCTCCTGAAAACACTATAAGCTGTAATAAAGCGTGGACACATTATATTCAGTTTTGTATACGCTTTTGTCCATACACACTGTATGGACAAAAGTATTGGGACACACCCCTTAACCACAGGTGTCTGCCTTTGTGAATTGAGTCATTCTAAAGAGCTCCCTAAATTTGACCATGGTTCTGTATTAAGATGACACCATTGCAACAAGTCAGTTTGCAAAATTTCTTCCCTCCTAGATGTTCCACAATCAACTGTTAGTGGTATTACTGAAAAGTGGAAGTGTTTGGGAACCACAGCAGCTCAGCCACAAAGTGTCAGACCACGTAAAGTGCCGGGAGCTTCATGGCAGGGTTTCCATGGCCGAGCAGCTGCACTGAAGCCTTTCATCACCAAGCGCAATGCCAAGTGTCGGATGGAGGGGTGTAAAGCGCCGCCGCTGGACTCTGGAGCAGTGGAAACGTATTCTGTGGAGTGACGAATCAGCTTCTCTATCTGTCAGTCTGATGGACGAGTCTGGGTTTGGCGAATGCCAGGAGAACGTTACCTGCCTGACTGCACTGTGCCAGCTGTAAAGTTTGGTGGAGGAGGGATGATGATATGGGGCTGTTTTTCAGGGGTTGGTCTGTCTAGAATCCTTAGTTCCAGTGAAGGGAAATCTTAATGCTTCAGCACCAAGACATTTTGGACAATTATAAGCTTCCAACTTTGTGTGAACAGTTTGGGGAAGAACCTTTTCTGTTCCAGCATGACTGAGCCCCAATCCAAGCTCCATAAAGGCCTGGCTGGGTGAGTTTGGTGTGGAAGAACTTGACTGGCCCTCACAAAGCCCTGACCTCAACCCCATCAAACACCTTTTGGATGAACTAGAATGGAGATTGTGAGCCAGTGTGTTTACATCTCACACACCGATTTTTGCCAAATTAGTATTGGTATTCTCTTTTAATGAAGCTTCGTTAATGTTTATAACCAAAACACTTTACTTTACTTTTAAGCGTTCACTGAGTACATTTTACTTATTTTGAGTTTAAAGGAAAGGGAATGAGAAAGTTCAGCTGAATGTGTGAGAAGTTGTTATGGAATGTGTTCAGGAAATAATGACCATGACCCAGTAAATAATTGACGATATGGCTTAGCCGACCTTCTGTGACATTTATAGCATGAACGCTACGTTCAATTTGCTACAAATCATGGATCTGGAAGAGAGCAAAAATGTGGAGGTGCAGGTTAAACAGCTTAAATTACATCTGTAAAAGTCAACCTGTAGGAAAAGAGATGAAGGCAGAGGTTTCCAGTCTGGGCCTTCAGGACTGCAGCGGAGAACCTGACTGGAGCCCTTTAACTCATGTCCTTACAGTCGACACTTACAGGTGTAACTGCTATACAGTGACCTGGATAACAGAAATATAAAGCATATATTTTGTGTTAAGGAGTGCATGTCCAAAGCAGCAGGACAGGTTTTTAAAATTCATATCAAATTCATTTTCATATGTGAGCCTAACTGAGCTCTGCCTTCGCCCACCGAAAGCTTTGCTGTTCAGTGGCTTTAAAGCAGCCACTGAGCTCCAGTGGAAAGACGAAAGCAGGTTTAAGAAGAAATATCGCACCTAAATGAGCTCGGACAGCATGACATCAGAGAGTAATTAAACCAGTTCGCCTTAGGATCCCGGCCCCGGCCTGCGCTCAGGACCGAGCCGAAACCCAGCACCTGCACATCTGTGAGCGCGAGTGAGAGAGTCTCCACTGTTTTCACTGGACCAGGTTCAAAATGAGAGAGAGAGAGAGAGAGAGAGGGAAGAGAGAGAAGGAAAGTGGGAGAGGAGAAAGAGAGAGAAAGGAGAGAGAGAGGAAAAAAGAAAAACGGGAAGGAGAATGAAGAGAGGAGACAGAGAGAGGGGAAAAGGGGGAAATAAAAGGGGAAAACGAGGTGGAGTAAACAGAGAGAGAGAGGGGAAGAGAGAAAGAAAGAAAGTAAGAGGGAGAGGGAAAAAGGAAAAGGAGAATATAAAAAAGAGGAAAGATAGGGATGAAAGGGGGGATAGAGGAACAGGAAAAAGTAGAGAGAGAGGAAAAGGGAACGAGAGAGAGAGAGGAGAAAATAGAGTGAGAGTGAAGATAGAGAGAGGGGGGAGGGAGAGGGAAAGTAAGAGGGAGAAAGAGGGGAAAAGAAGAGGAATAGAGTGAGTGAAAGAGGAGAGAGAGGGAAGGAGAGTGAGAGTGAAGATAGAGAGACAGAGAGAGAGGAGAGAGAGGGAGGAGGAGACAAAATAGAGAGAGAAAGAGAGGAGGAGGAGAGAAAAGAGAGAGAGGGAGGAAGAGAGGGGGGAGAAAAGGAGAGTGAGTGAATTTAGAGAGAGAGAGAGAGCGAGAGAGAGAGAGAGAGCATTACGCCATTCTTCCGTTTTGGAGATTTAAACAGGTCTCTCACAGAAACTCCGAGCAGAGGAGCTCAGCCTGCACGAGCGAACGGACCTACAGACAGACAGACATACAGAGAGAGAGATACTTACCGATACAGAGAGAGAGACAGAGAGATAACACATCCAGCCATACAGTGTGTCTCTCTCTCATTCTCTCTCTCCGATGTGTCCGTCACTCCGCGGCTCCGGATGCTGCACTCCTCCACCATGCTCCTGTGGAGCGCCGCTCTGAGCCCGCGCGCGCGCTTCCTCGCGCCCCTTCATGCTGCGCGGCCGCAGCGCGAGAGCGTCCGCGCGCCCCCAACCACCATCACACGATGAGAGGCGCGAGCCGCATCTCTCCGCTGCTCTTGCTCCTGCTGCTGCTGTTGCCGTGCGCGAGCGCCGTGCCAGAGGCGCCGCGCCCCGCGCTCAGACTCTCGCGCATCCGCGCCGGTGCACCGGTGGCCGCGCGTGCTACCGCGCAACAGCCGCCCTCCGCCTCCGAGAGCGCGAGACGGAGCGCGGCCGCGCAACCTGCGGCGCGCAAGGGCGCCAAGACCCGAGGCGCGCACGAGGAGAAGGGCGCGCGCGCGCACCCGCTCGTGACTCCGCACGACTACATGCTGTCCCTCTACTGGTCTCTGTCCAGCGGAGCAGTGAACGCAAGCGCGCTGCACGAGGCCGGAATGGCCAACACCATCACCAGCTTCGTGGACAAAGGGCAAGGTATCTATCTATCTATCCATCCATCCATCTATCTATCTATCTATCTATCTATCTATCTATCTATCTACCTGTCTGTCTGTCTGTCTGTCTGTCTATCTGTCTATCTATCTATCTATCTACCTGTCTGTCTATCTATCTATCTATCTATCTATCTATCTATCTATCTATCTATCTACCTGTCTGTCTGTCTGTCTGTCTGTCTATCTATCTATCTATCTATCTACCTGTCTGTCTATTTATCTATCTACCTGTCTGTCTATCTCTCTGTCTATCTATGTATCTATCTATATATCTATATATCTGTCTATACATGGATGCATTTATGTGAATGAATCATTTCCTGAACTATTGTAATAAATATAAACATTTATGGCTACATTGGTATAAATGTTTGCAATTAAATCAATGAATTAATATTGTGAGATAAGCAGGGTTTTTCCATATTTACATTTCCAGAAATGCATGTTTTTGTTGAATGGAGTGGCTGACAGGGCAAGGACTACCTAACATTTACTGATCTTAACATTTTGCAAACTGTAATCCTTTAAACTAAAACTTGAAACTTATCTTCTTCTCGAGTGCACTTGTGAGGAAATGACCTTCCTCATTTCCATTCTAGTCATTAACGCTTGGCTCCAAACATTTTACTTAAACGTAAACCTCTATAACGAAAACAGCTGACACTGTCAAAAGCTGGGCAGAGATTCTCACAGATGCTCATGTCTCTGCGTTTAGCCTAGCAACGTTAGCGTTTAGAGGGTGTAAGAGGCAGATAAGGATAAAGAAGCCAGTGAGAGGTACAAGGTAGGTGTAGCTAATAACCCGGCAGCTCAGTGGCTTCTCACTCAGTGAGCGTCTTCCTACTGTGTGATATTTTACTCTGAAACTCTGAGACATGGCTGTGTGCGGCTAGGCTAACCGTGCCAGCTGAGTTAGAAACGATATCTCTCTGTTCTCAGTGTTTCCTCGACAAGCCGACCTGCTTCCACATCATTCACTGAGCAGAAAATAACTAACTTTGCGTAGAAGACGACAGCCGCCCCTCATTTAGCGTTAACCTTCAACGATAAACTGTTAGCTGTACAAGATGGATCTTCAAGGGTTCTTTAGTAAAGGTAATGGTTCTATTTAGAACCATGAGCTCAATATAGAACCATTTGCATGCTTCTGTGGTTCTTTGCATGAAATGTGAAATGGTTCTTCACATCGATGCAGAATGTGTTGTGTATGGTTCTATATAGCACCTTCTACTGTTAGTAGCCTGACCTCGTAACAATAGCAGAACCCTTTTTTGGTGGTACATAGAACTATTTTCAAAAACCATATACAGCACATTCTCCAGCAATCTGAAGAACCATTTCACCATGCAAAGAACCATTTAAGCATGCAAATGGTTCTTTGAGTGTTCAGGGTTCTACATAGAACCACTGTCTTTAAGAACTTTTTAAGAGTGTAGCTTTGGTTAATCTACTGAATCAATGGAAAATGAGAAATGAGAAATGCCAAGGCACAAAAATAGTGTTTATAAATGCAAAAAATGGGATGTCAAGTAACATTATCTTAAACAGTCGATAAATCTAATATTTCTCCTGTTGAGATTGTTGTAAGCTTTATTTAAGATTATTTACCATATTTCTCGACATTTTTAACTTGTTTTAAGTGATTTTATTATGTAAAATTATCTCACTGTATTGGCAGATAGTTTTGCTTGTCGTAAGAAATGTACTTGAAACTATTTAGAATTTTAAAAATGAACTATTTTTAATATATTTAAAAAAAAATGACAGCTCTTGCAATTTGAAAATTGCACTCGATATAAATTAGGATTTCAATATAAAACTGATGTATCTTGCAGCCCTATTTGTTACTGCTCCTTCACAGGTCTCTGGCTCACAAGCCCCGCCCCCTGAACATGGATTGGCTAGTTGTTTATATTCATAAGCAGGTTGAAGTTCTGGCCAACATTAATCCTGGCTAATGTCAGCACAGGAGGCGGGGCTTGTCAGAACACCAGCGGGAAGCAACTCAGTAAATACTTGGGTTGTAAGCTTTATTTAAGATTATTTACCTTATTTCTAAACATTATTTACTTGTTTTAAGTAATTTAATTAAGTAAAATTATCTCATTATAGTGGCAGATAATGTTGCTTGTTGTAAGAAATGTGCTTGAAACCAGCAACATTATCTGCCAGTATAGTGAGGCCATTTTACTTAATGAAATCACTGAAAACAAGTGGAGAGTCTGTAGAAATGAGCTGGATACTCTTATAATAAGTGCACAGCCATCTTACAATGGTAAATATTAGATATTGCCATAGATATTCATCATTTCACTTGACAAGATGCCTTTTTTTGCAGTGTGTGCTCCTTTGCCTGCTTCCTATTTGCTACTACGTTTGTTTACAGCCCTGCTGGATTTATGAAAGACACAGTAATGTTACAGTAATGCAACAACATTTCACAGCGTCAGATACTTCATTAAACTCCTACCAAAAACCTGCCAAAGACTTCAGATAACGAGACAGAACTGAAGCGCTACACACAGTAAATGCTGCGTTTAAAGGAAAGCAGCACTGCTGAAACGGGTAGTCAGTAGAGTTTGTATAGCTAGTATGCTAACTAGCATAATAGCTAATCCAGCTGAGGTTTTAGCCAGTTTTACAAGAAAGTGATCTGTAACTGAACTTCAGCTGGGTTACCTATGGCTCTAACTGGCATACTTGCTATCCAAACTACATACATACTACCGTTTCAAGTTGTTTTGCCTCTTTCCTCTGAACACCTTTTAGTTGTTAGCATTCAGCTCCTTGCTCATTCAGTTTCATGCTGTTGTGTTGGATCACCTCTCACTCTGGAGCTTTAGCATTTTATATTGGAGGATTTGAGGCTAAAAAATGCTCCTGAGAAGTTCCACTGGGAGTTTTTGAGACTTTTTTAATTAAAACTGTTTTTTTGGTTAGTCACTGTAGTCTAACAACCATTTACTTCTACTGCTTGGGGCTGAACGATTTAGAGAAAATGTCTAATTGCGATTTTTCTGACTAATATTGCGACTGCGATTTAAATTACAATTATTATTTTTTTTTAAGTTTGAAGTTCAGACCTTTTTTTACCAAGAAGACCAGAATATCCATTTTTTCTGGCTTGTTGTAAGAAATGTTATTAGCATTTAGCTCCTTGCTCATTCAGTTCCATGCTGTTGTGTTGGATCACCTCTCACTCTGGAGCTTTTTATTAGCATTTTATTTTAGAGGAATCAAGGCTAAAAAGATGCTCCTGAAAAGTTCCACTGGGAGTTTTTCGAGACTTTTTTTTAAATTAAAATTGTTTTTTGGTTAGTCAATGTAGTCTAACAACCATTTACTTCTACTGCTTAGGGCTGAACGATTTAGGGAAAAAGTCTAATTGCGATTTTTCTGGCTAATATTGCAACTGCAGTTTAAATTGTGATAATTTTCTTTAAAATTTGAAGTTCAGACCTTTTTTTACCAAGACCAGAATATCCATTTTTTCCGGCTTGAAGCTTGACCGCTTAATGTAGTGAGCCAGAAAGCCAGTAAGTTGTGGTTGTGATGTCACAACACATGGAGGTTTGGTTGCCTCTGATTGGTCTAACCCTACATGCAGTATACAACTCTATTGCGTTAAATTTCCTGTCTTAAAATTTAGCACGTTTTTGATAATGTAGGCTATAATTTTTGAAAAATGACAGCTCTTGATATAAATTAGGAATTCAATATAAAAACGATGTATCTTGCAGCCCTATTTGTTACTACTCCTTCACAGGTCTCTGGATCACAAGTCCCGCCCCCTGAACATGGATTGGCTAGTTGTTTATATTCATAAGCAGGTTCTGGCTAATGTCAGCACAGGGGGCGGGGCTTGTCAGAACACGAGTGGTAAACAACTCAGTAAATACTTGGGTTTTTATCCACTTTAACAAATTTGATGACGTTTAAATGACTCTGGTGTGAAAACTGTGCCAACTTTATATTTCAAGCACTTAAAAAGCCTAAATATAATAAACACAAGTGAATTTTCATCCATAGTTGCTGCCTCAGTTCCTCTTCCCTCCGTATCTGCGTCTCACCTGTTTCACGCGCACAGAAACATACTTTTCAGCTGCTTTTCTTTTTTTCCCCACTTTGCATTAGTGAATGCCATATGTCGTGGTGCTGTGCCCACTGGTAAACAGCTGCAGGTTGATAATAGTTCTGTTTAGAGTATGATCGGCTCTCTGAGCCGAGCGGGTCTGGTTTTAATAGAGTTCTGAAAGTAAACACTGCCTGGATAAAAATTAACTCTTTGAATTGTTCATTGGAAATATTCTCTAGCAAGCAGAAAGGGAAACACAGTCAGGCATGCAAAAAAGAAGTTAAAGGTGATATGTCGCTTTTGTGGGAAGAAAACCTCGTATCTCCAAAATAGTAACTTTACAGGAGAAGGAAAAAACTTACTTTACTTTTTATGTAACTCAATGGAACCGGACGGTTTTCCGAGTCAGTTTGGGCCGTTTCTTTTGGTCCATTCATCATGAAATTTACATACAATGTAAAGAGCAACAGGCATTTTCAGATTATGTAAAAAACTGAAAAATGACAAAAATGGAGATACGAGGTTTTCTTCCAACAACAGTGATGTACTAATGTTATATTGTAAATTAGGGCCTATATCCTACTTAAAGGGCCCATATCTCACATTTTTCTTGCATTTTATTTTTTACCCTGAGGTATAGTTTTGATGTGTTGTTTTATATGCCAAAAACATTAGTCATTCATGTTTACATAACCATTTTCCAACCTCTATGGTTAGCTGGAATTGGTGGGAATGTTTAAATGCATTGATTTTCATGACATTACAAAAACAACAAATTCAAAACAGGCAGTTTTTGCAGGTTAGTTTTGATATATGGACTGTATGGACTGGAATAGATGATTTGTTTTGTCACAAACCACATCAAACCCTTTTATTTCACAAAACAAATGAATAAATAAATTCAGTTTTCCATGATATGGGCCCTTTAAAGTTTGTCTTTCTAAAAGTGAATTTTGTTCTGTGGTGGTCCTGCCCTGCCGCTGCCCTGCGCTCCTGTCTGGAACTCTCCTGACTCCTCGCCCATCACCTGTGTCTTGTTAGGCCACAGCGGTACCGTCTCTGTGTATACAGTCCCCGTCCTTTCCTTCGGACCTTCTTGCGTGTGTTTACCGCATTACTGAGGCTTGTTTCCAGTTTTCCTCTTTCTGGTTTCTAGTGTTTACCGTGTGTTCTGTGTTCAGCTGTTTTGCAGTTGCACCCTGCCCGCCTGCTGGTACGGCTGTGGCTTTGCTAATCCTGTCAGTCTGTGTTTTGACCCTGTTGTTTGTTTCTGGTGATGGCCATGACAATCATCAATGCTCAAATCAACCTGCCTTCAATTCCAATCAGAGTCGCTCACAAGTCGCTTCATGTGAGTTCGAGTTGAGTCTCAAATCTTTAGTTGACCATTTCTGTTTGGTCTTGTTATTAGCGGCAGGCATTACACTGTCCAAAAGTAAATCCTACTAAAAAACTGCTTCAGATGAGCCTCTCATTATAGGAAATCTTTCAATCTGAGGGACAGAACCAAAGCGCTACATGCAGTAAATGCAGTAAAAGAGGCAAAACAACTGCAAGAGGTTGGTTTATCTGTACTTTGCATGCTAGTTAGCCAGTTTAATAGCCAATCCAGCAGAAGTTTTAGCAAATTTTACAGGGCTTTGGTTTGTAATTTACTCAGCTTCAGCTAACTAGCACACTTGCTATGCAAACCAGAGCCGGTTTAAGGGGAGCCTGGCCACTTCTTATTTCTCTCATTATATCAAAAACAAGACTGGAAAACACCAGAGGGGACCTGCGAGGGATGAATGGGATGAACAGAGCTAAACAGCTGAAAAGAAAATTTTTAAATAGTTTCTAACCACTTTAATTTTACAAAGCAGACGGATGTGTTTCACTAAAAAGCAAAGGAAACTTAACTTTGTATTTTCTTTTTTTACAGCAAACAGGTTGTGGGCAGTAGGGTGCTAACAATACTGCTACTGAGTGCTGATTGGTTAGCATAACTGCTACTGAGTGCTGATTGGTTAGCATTACTGCTACTGAGTGCTGATTGGTTAGCATTACTGCTACTAAGTGCTGATTGGTTGGCATTACTGCTACTGAGTGTTGATTGGTTAGCATTACTGCTGCTGAGTGTTGATTGGTTAGCATTACTGCTGCTGAGTGCTGATTGGTTAGCATTACTGCTACTGAGTGCTGATTGGTTGACATTCCTGCTACTGAGTGCTGATTGGTTAGCATTACTGCTGCTGAGTGTTGATTGGTTAGCATTACTGCTGCTGAGTGTTGATTGGTTAGCATTACTGCTGCTGAGTGCTGATTGGTTAGCATTACTGTTGCTGAGTGCTGATTGGTTAACGCTACTATTCCCAAGAGCTGATTGGTTGGCATTACTGCTGCTGAAGGCTGATTGGTTAGCATTACTGCTGCTGAGTGCTGATTGGTTAGCATTACTGCTACTGAGTGCTAATTGGTTAACACTACTATTCCCAAGAGCTGATTGGTTGGCATTACTGCTACTGAGTGTTAAATGGTTAGCATTACTGCTTCTGAGTGCTGATTGGTTAGCATTGCTGCCACTGAGTCCTGATTGGTTAGCATTGCTGCCACTGAGTGCTGATTGGTTGGCATTACAGCTGACTGGTCAGCAAGCGGAGGCACCATTACAAAGTCCTATAACTTGAGTTCAAAAATGCTCAAAAATAATAACAAAACCATGATTTTGCTCAAATGCGCCCCCCCAGCCCGTGTTTGACAAGCCCAGAAGACATTACTGAGTTGCAATTCTCTCCAATACATATCCTCTGTCCAAACTGCATTTTCATTACAAACGAGTGCAGAATTAGTCCTGTTTAATTGGATTCAGTGCAACATTTAAGAATGTTTTTTCCCATTTCCTATAGAAGTGGCCATTCCAGAAATACAGGTTTTGTTCTAATAGTGCTGTTTTTATTTGATATGATGTTTTGTAGTGTAAGTTTCAAAATTTGCCTCTGTTTCTTCTGCAGATGAGCGCTTGTCCCTGTTAAGGCGGCAGAGGTACTACTTCAACATCAGCTCTCTGGAGAAGGAGGGCCTGCTGGGAGCAGAATTACGCATTCTCCGAAAGCCATTCCTGGACCCTCATAAAGCCCCGCCCACTGAGGGCGTAAACTCTCTGAGACTATACACCTGCGCAGCAGGTAAACAGAGGGCTTCGCTGCTCCAGTCTCGGCCAATCGAGGACCACAGTGTCCCAAAGTGGGAGGTGTTTGACATCTGGAAACTGTTCAAGAACTTCAGGAACACGCCTCAGCTTTGCTTCGAGCTGGAGGCCGTGGACCGGGGGCGACAGCTGGACCTGAGGTCGGTCGGCCTGGGCCGCTCAGGAAGGCAGACCAAAGAGAAGGCCTTCTTTGTGGTGTTCAGCCGCACGAAAAAGCGCGGGCTCTTTTACAATGAGATCAAGGCCCGTTCAGGCCAAGACAACAAGACGGTGTACGAGTACCTCTTCACCCAGCGCAGGATGCGGCGAGCGCCGATTCCCCGCCCCAAGAAGCCGCTTCCGAAGGCTTCGAAGCCTCGCTGCAACCGCAAGCAGCTGCACGTCAACTTCAAGGAGATGGGCTGGGATGACTGGATCATCGCACCTCTGGAGTACGAGGCCTTCCACTGCGACGGAGTCTGCGATTTTCCTATTCGTTCCCACCTGGAGCCCACCAATCACGCCATCATCCAGACGCTCATGAACTCCATGGATCCTCGCTCAACACCGCCCACCTGCTGCGTCCCCACCAGACTCAGTCCTATCAGTATCCTGTACATCGACTCAGCCAATAACGTGGTGTACAAGCAGTATGAGGACATGGTTGTAGAGAGCTGCGGCTGCAGGTAGCGACAAATGCTAGAGGAGTAAGCTAAAGACCCAAAGTTTGGAAGCACATGAGAACCTTTTGGAACATTGTGAGATGTCTTCACAGGTGCTCCCTATGGAGACCGCCAGACTTCTTGTGTTAAGCTCATCATCGGACTAGTTAGAGACATTGGATGCAAAACTGTCCTCCTCTTTAATGATGATGTCAAATGAGTGATGAGTGCGGTTCACCTTTTTTTGAGATACAGAACCCTCAGCAACTCTCCAAACACTGTTTGCAACTCACAGTAACTTCATACAGAGGATTTTGATCATTACTGAACACTTTTAGATGTGATTTAATCCCTTTGTAATGACTGTACACCCCTCAAACATTGGACACCCTACATTACAGCTCAGTTTAAAAGACGTCGGTCTTGCTTCATAAGGATGTAGGCCAGTGGGCTCATGTTCAATAACCTGAAACTGTAAAGCAGGACTGGCACTCTGCGCCTGCCATTCATCACTGAGGAGACCTTTTAAGACATTCTGTAACAATGTAGGATGCTATATTAGCAGAATTATGTATACTTATTTTCCAAATCTGAGTTAAATTTAACTAAAGATCTCAAAGCGTTATGTACAAAGCCATATAAAGGTTTTCCGTAAAGGGGCACTCCGGCCAAAAGGAGTCTAACCATTGCTAAATCTGTTGTAAACATGCCTGTTCACGCTGGAACAGTCTCAAAAGTGAGATTTTTCTGGTTTAAAAACAATAAAGCTACGTTCACATTACAAGCCTCATTGCTTAAATCCGATTTTTTGCTCAAATCCGATCTCTCTGACACGATGGTTCACACTCGTTTAGGTAAGTGATTCAAATCTGTCATTAATGTGATGAACTGGTGTCCTGAAATGACCCTCATGAGCTCATCCTACTCAGTAACGTCACGTGAATGAATCACGTGCATCGTCAGCACAAACTAACGAGCAGAACGAGCTTCGCTGAGAAGATAATTAACTCTGATCAGCTCTCAGCTTCATTATTAGAGCGAGACGAAGGAGAAAAAGGTGAGATGAGCTGCTTTTCCACCGTTTACAGGCTTTAACTTCTGTTCGGCGCTGTTGCCATGGTAACGCTGAATGATGGTCACGCGCAGAGTAAAAAAAGCGCATGAATTCTGATCTGAGCGTCACATTAAGGTCGCATGGCCACGAATCGGATACGTATCCGATCTAGGACCACATATGAACGCGGCTCAGGTCGGATTTGAAGAGATCAGATTTTTGTGTCCACACAGCCCTGAAAACATCAGATCTGAGTCACATTAGGGCAAAAAATCGGATTTGGTCCACTTCAACCTGGTAATGTGAACGTAGCCTAAAAGCCCCTTCTGATGATGTATCTTGAAAGTGGAAGGAATGTTTAAATGCTTTAAATGTTTTTTTATCTCGTCTGTATTTATTAGCCTCTACTTCTGTTTTGTGGTCAGAGAACATTTGGACGAAAACATGTAAAAGATATAAAATCAAGAATTCTGTTAAACCGATGAGGCTGAAGGACGCAATGCTGCGCTACACAATACTACATAACATGACAAATAACATAATAAATGCTAGTTTTAGGCCGGAATGCCCCTTTAACCGGTTCAGATTTGAGGGAATATATATACACTGTATTCATAACAGCGATGCATTTTTGTAAAAGAAGAAGGGAGTTTCTTGAGCTGCCATTCTCCAATCTCTTGATCGGTATGTACCATAATAATAATAATAATAATAATAATAATAATAATACAATTCCAGGGATAATCTTGAAGAAAAATGTGGTGGATATACAGTGTGAAGGGAAGATGAAATAGCTGGGTGAACAGCGTTACATGTTAATAACAGAAAAGTCCAATTTTTGTCACAAAGTTTTCACCAAATGTCTTAAAAAGTGAGATTATTCTCACAAATAAGCTAAAGAAATGTTACTGAGGTTCACAGCTACATTTGTGTGCTAGACTTTAAGAAAATGAGACGTGTATTGTTGCTGCTTTATTCTTCACTTTTGAAAAACGGTGCCACAAAGTGTTCTTTGATGCCGTGGAAGAACCATTTTTCACATAACGTAAAGGCTCTGTACCAGTTTAAGGTTCTGTAAAGTTTAAGAAGGTTCTCCAGACTCACACATCTCATTTTCAGAAATGGTTCTCCAAAAGAACCATCCATTGAAAGGTTCTTCAAGGATTCTTGGCGTCACATAAAAGACACTTTTTGGCACTTTTGTTTTTTAGGAATGTTTTGGTTTAGCCAAAGTCCCTCCGAAGCCAAACGCTCCACTCACTCTGTCATAAAGGCTATTTTCTTTAATAAAATATATAGTAAGTTGACTTAATTACTGGTTCTTATTTCTGTTTTACCACATGGTACTGTGCAAAAGTCTTAGTTTAAAGCTATTTATCTGGGCTGTAAGTCTGTTTTTGCCAGTAAAAACAATGTATAACATTAGAATAAATACAAATAAGCATAAATACTGTAAACTGTAAGAGGTATGTGTTGTTTTTAGTAAAGTTATGAATGTGAAGTTTAGATGAATCCAGTTAGAAGAGCTCAGGTTTGGTTCCTGACTTCTCGCTGCTCTCCAGTGCAGACATCACATGGATCTGTTGAGTTCCATCAGCAGCACCTGATTTAATTTAATGAAGGACTGATTAGATAAACTAGATACTGGACGGTAACTGTAAATACAGGACTTCCTCCAGGAGAGATTTGGAAATGGTTAAAGGGAATTCCGCTGAATTGAAAATATAATCTGCATGATTAAATAGTTAAGATGTAAACAAAGTCATAACCAGACGTCCACCTCTAAAAGCTCCCTGACAGAAAGTTATTACATGAAATTGTTATGAATTCACTGCCTGAGGTATTGCTTTACGATGGTTTTGACATATGGTTTTTGTAAAACCATATGTCAAATAAAAATAATGCGTGGTCATGGTGTATTAATGCGTGGGAATGAGATCATATGTCACATGATATGACTTGTTTTACCGGAATAGGTTTCGGTTTCACTGTAAGTGGCCCTGGATTGTGGGAACAACATAATGAAGTCATGGCCATGACTTAGTAAAGCATGGGAACGAGATAATGAAGTCGTGGCCACGACTTAGTAAGGCATCCCATATAAATAATTGCTCAATAAATTTTGCTCAATACTGTACATTCCCTGAGATCTTCAGGCCTAACGCAATTACAGAGCACTGAGCATGTGAACGTTTCCCAGCAGCGACTGTCTGTCTATAAGTCTAATAACAAATAACACGCATATTATATATTCTCAGAGACTGCGAGAGTAGAAACATGACTTGTTTTACGGGATTAGGTTTCGGTTGTCACTGTAAGTGGCCCTGGATTGTGGCAAAGTGTCAAGCTGGATAATATAGAACAGGATTGAATAGTCTTATAGAAAGGTGTTGTGTTTCCACACATAAGCAGAACCACATGCTCGCTCTGAGGCCGGAGCTGGTTTTTACTGGGGGACCTAATTGAATACAACTTTAATTGCCCACCCATTACCCTGTGTGGATTTCACAATGATATTTTGGGAGAGCTGACAAAAGCATGTCTGTGTGCGTGCGCCGGCCAGAGGACACCCACTAATCCCACATCTTGAGGCTCTCTAACTTTTATAGAGTTCTTGCGGCTTTCTGCCGCGTTTCCTCATACCGAACCTTTCCCTCTCTCTTTGTGTCTGTTATCAGATCTGGCAGGCCTACCCTGACCGATGTTTAACATTTTGTAAATGCAGTCTTATATTTCCTTGACAGATGTCTGAGGAATTTTATCATGTAGCTGGCCAATATTTATTGGAAAAAAAAGTTAAGTGGTCCAAAAAAAAAAGGAGGCAAAGAGACAGACGTACACATATGAAGGAGAGAGAAAGCTGACACAAAGAAAAGACAAAGAAAAGCGAAGGCGGTAACGTCGAGGTGATAAAAGAGGACGGGAGTGTCCAGATCTGACCGCATTCTGAAGTGGCACCCTGTACTTGTGTAAAAACAAGGAATAACAGTCCTCGCTCTGTCCCTCCTATAAAACCTCTTTCCAAGAAGTTCATGACCCAAACCTCCTTCCTGACCTCCCGCTGGGTTACAGGGCAAAACTCATCTCTTGCTCAATTCGCTCCCCTACAATGCCTTTACTGGCCCTCCGAGGACGCATATATGGAGTGCGCTGTTTTAGATGGAAACGTGGTGAAGCCACGTACACACTTCATAAACGAGTCGAGCCAAATAACGAGAAGAGTGTGAAGAAGAGGTGTTTTTGGGGTCAGAATGAAAAATGTAAACACTGCCGCAGGATGTGGGATGTAGGATGCTACATTAGCAGAACACACTTATTTTCTAAATCTGAGTTTAGTCAAAAATCTCAAAGCGTTTATGAACAAAGCCATGAACTTATTTCCTTAAAGCTAAATCTGTTGTAAACATGCCGACTCGCCTCCTACAGCAGAGCCAGAGTGAGACTTTACAGTTTAAAGACTAGAAAAACACTCCTGATGATGTATCTTGAAGGTGAGAGGAACTTATGAAAAACTACAATCAAAGTGGGGGGTGAATATTTTAGGGCAGGCTGTTTGATATCCCGTATAAATAAAAAAAATGTGTCAAACCATATTAACATGGGGGGAATGAGATCATAATGCATGTCCATGAGATCATGCCTTATTAAGCTGTGGTCAAAGCTAAAGTATCTCATTCCCACATGTTACTAAGTCGTGGTCACGAATTAATTATCTCGTTCCCACTTACTAAGTCAGAGCCAAACATTAGGTTCTCGTTCCCATGCGTTAATATGGCCACAGATTATTTTTATTCATACTTTTTTATATTATTTATTTAGCACTCATGTTTGGCAGACTTATATTTATTTCACCACAATTAGCGATTTCACATTGCAGAATAAATTCATGCCAGAACTTTGACATGCAAATTCGTGTCGACCAATATCGCCGCTGCTTTTACCGTGTTGACCTCTGAAGGGCTTCATATGGCAGCACTGACTCATATAGTGTCACTTACTTTTAGTGTCTAAGCATCAGCCTTTTCAAATGTATTCCCCGAAACTAAACACATAAAAGGGAGACTGAATGACTCACTGTCAGTCGAGAAACCATATTGTTAACTTTATTTTTGTGGTTTTGCTCTTTGTGGCAGCCAGCTTGCCAACTGCAAAGTTAGCTCCTTGGCTAAACACAGCTGCACACCAGTCACCCAACTGCTGCAAGCCATGCTAACTACCTCTGTGTTTTTGCTGCAGATCAGTGTGCAGTGTGCTGTACAAATGGGAGGAAATAACAGCAATGACAGCTGGGAAAACCTTACAAAGATGATAAAAATGCTGCATATATGTAAATTACACCATACATGTGATGTTACAGAGAGAACTATATGGTATATCAAACAAAATTAGTTTCTAGTTTGCTTAATTAGTGGTTTAACTGAACGTGTTGCATGCAACTTTGTTTTCAGATTATATTGCAGGCGACTTACAACATGCAACTAGTTGCATGAAAGTTTAACTGTGTAAAGCCAGGCTTAGGTGCATGTCGGCACAACTTTCGGCCTTTTCTGAAAACTGGTCTTTGCTGCAACGTGGTTATTAATTAAGACCTTCTTAGTTAAGAGCTGTTGGCCCCTGGACCAGCTTCACTCACACCCGATTCACAAGATGATGCAAACACCAAATGTCTACAGTTACTGTGGCTTGAGAAGAAAGTCACATGGCTAACGCTGCAGGTTTGTATTTTTTAGCC